CCTTGAGCATCTGGGACTGGAGCCATGTCCCCACTAGGCCAATAGGATGGCCAGTCTGTCTGGGGCCCAGGGCTGGAGGGCCACGCGGTCCCCCTGGCCCAGACCACCACTGTAGAGAGTGGGGCTGGGGTTCCTTCCCCTTGCCCTGACAGATGAGGAGGAGCCCCTGGTTTTCATGTTGTATGAGGGGTGGGGGCGCTATGAGTGCCCAGGAGCATGGGAGGGGATTTGAACTCTGGCCCTGCAGCCCACAGAAGTGATTCCCACATAGTGCCTCACACACATGCCGCCCCCATTCACACCTGTCAACTCTGCTCCATGGCACTGTCACAGCATGGAAAACCAGAGAATTTCCTGAGGCTATGGAGTCTTCTCTACCAGGACAGACCTACCAGGTGGCCACAGGGCCAGGGCCATCCCCAGCGAACACGGTGACAGCATCAGCCAGTGATGATCATGGGCTTCCTGTCCCAGGATGCGAGGACCACTGTTTGTCCCTGCATCTGTCCCCATGGGGCCCCCCATCCCTCACAGGGACACATCACACAGGGGTCTTGCTGTGAGAGCCACGTGCTTGGAGGATGGAAGGGGGTCAGGAAACAGCACTGTTAGGGCCACCACGACATCAGGGGCAGTGGACCTCTGGGCAGAGGTATATGGCCTCTCAGAATGAGGACACACGGACCCTAGATGTCCCCACCCACAGGGGGCCTGAGGGCCCAACTTGAGGGGGTCACCAAGCGCAGCGGAGGAAATAAGCAAGGACAAGGAGATGGAAAAAGTGCATCCTAGACCCAACACCAGAAACTCTCGCACCAGACTCGGAAAGGAGTCTCGTTCAGAGCAGCGGCAAAAACGCCCGGACACAGCACTGGTGAGGAAGCGACAGGCAGAAGGAGCGAGCAACTCTGCAAGGCCTACATGGCTGTGAGCACAGGGCAGGGAGAAGGCAGCCCGGCCCCGAGGCTCTGCAGCCGGACAGCACCCGGACAGGCCTCCCGCCCCTGCGAAGTCCTGAGTGCAGTCGCCCAGAGACCGGGTAGAGAACGGAATGGGGCAACCGGACACCTTTAGCAGAGCGGAGCACAGCTGCACCGTGAAAGAAGAGCAAGTGGAGGATGAATCTTGTGATCTCAGCCGACGGCCTGGGCACAGCTAGTGTATGTGGCCATCACTACCAGAAAGTTCTCTCGCTAAGTTGTGAGCCGCCGACTGCTTTCGGGCGACTCCCTGCACTGGTGCTGCACAAGCGCCTGTACTACTAGAGACAGTGCCACCTGCCCACCCACGGACCATGGGGTTGGACAGCCCCCTTCTATGACCCTGTCACGACAAAACTGAAACTGGCCTGGCATTTAAGTAGCACAGTTTTGATGGAATGCCAATATTTGAGTCAGTGGCACAACACATTTGAGCAGAAGGTACAGAGGTCTTCCCGCTCCATGGTCTTCTAGCTTGCTCTGAGATCCCTGCTCTGGAAAGAAAGTGGGCAGCGTTGGGTTTCAGCTCTGCACAATAGCACCTTTAACAAACCTGCCAGCCAGGCACACACTAAATAGGGTTTGAAGAAATCTTTACTACTGCCGGTTAGTATTCACAGGCCTCAGAGGGACAAGAACCCACAAGGACTCAATATTTGTAAATGCTACTGTTGTCACCAAGCACATGTCACAGATTCCTGAGAGATGCCAGGAGCTTTCCTTATAATGGGATATAAATATAATTAGGGAAAAAGGTCATTAGGAAAACCTAAAAACATATAAATGAGCACTTGGCGGTCTTGAATTTGAATACCACCTGACTGTAACTGAGAAACCTAACCAGCCTGGATTATTCTATTTTTGTTTACCAATATCTTCAACTCATTCAAAAGCTACAACCCAGAGGACCAAGACAGCCTTTTGATTCAAAAATTTGTCACTTTCTATTTACACAAGCCAAAGAAGGCTGGGCTTCAGACGTAGGCTATCAAAACAACTGAGTTTGTGTTTGCAACTCTGACAGTGTAAGCGTTAACTCCAACTGCGGGAGAAGCAGTAACATCAGTACAGTGAACTCGACCCTACATTAAAATGGATATTTCCATTACCCACCCTAACAGCGCTTTCTGGAGTTTATATAACTTGATCATTAAAACATGCTCGAGGCTGAAAAGCTAGTCTGTGTCAACTTTAGACACTGAGCCAGCCTGCCAGGCTCTGGGGTTTGTTTGTCCTTCTCGTTTACACTTCTCCAAGAATGCATTAATATTAATGCTACACATGCAACTGAGCCCAAAATCATCTGCAACACCTGAGGAGCCAAGGCTATTGCATGCACAGCTGGTGTTTTCAGAAGAAATTTATGATGTCTACAAACTTAACTTCAAGAAAGGAAAAAACTCAGCTTCCTTTTAATCCATCTTCTAACACATCCTCTTGTCTATTGATTACTCCATCAAAAATACTGGAACTGTCATTTGGAACTTTTAATTTTGCTGGAAATGGACTTTGAGTTGGAATCCAACTTCATAGAAACCAAGTTCACTACTGTAACTTCCTTTCGAGGGCCTCTCTGTAGAGTCAAGGAGGTATTTCCTATGGGGACAGCAAGCCAAGGGTGGGGGAAGACATCTCCTCAGGTTATGACTAGCTCAAGCAACAATGCAGCAATAAGTGAGTGTAGCCCACACTTGTGCATGAATACAAAGATCTCTGACAGAGACACAGGCAAACCCTGCTATCAAGATGCCCAAGTATTTGGGAAGAAAGCTTAGGAAAGGCAGATCTGACTCCACAAGATTGGGTGGGCCAGAGATGCCCAAGAAGAGGGATGTCCAGAGGCCAGCCCTGTCTACACCCAGATGGCTCCTCCTTGCACCCCTGGGAGACACAGAGAGCTCCAGGACATCAATCCCACCTGAAGTGTTCTGTCCGGGTGTTCTGAATCCCTGCTTGAGAAGGACGGACCAAGGCAAGACCAGATGGGTATGTCCATGTGTGTGAGTATATGTGTGTGTAACTGTGTCTGTCTACACCTTATAAAAGAGACCATAGAAATACATTTCTACATGCAAAGGAAAGAATACTGTCTTAGCATTTCATATTGCATTCTTATTTTTGATCTTTGTAGAACTGTGGAAAAATCATCACTGTGGATAAAAATAGAAATGCCCCAGACTCTTGTGAGTCAGAAGCCATCACGAAGTTCACTGCCCAGGGACTCTTCACACCGCTCGGCAACCTGACACTACTTGCAGAAGGAAGCAAGATATATTCTCCTAAACTCAATTTTTAAAATCCAGAAAGTTTTAACATACATGGTGGTGAAATACGTCTAAGTGATGGAGAACTCATTATTCTTGATAACACCTTTTACACAGACTCCACTTACAGTTATAAAACCCATCCTTATATTCTGGGGTTGCATGGCTTAGATATGGCCAAGAGTTTCTGCCTGGGAATTACACAGAGCTGTGCTGCTCACCTCTCTACTTGGTCCAAAGCAGTGTGAGCCTAGCCAAAGAGAAATACTTCTCATCACTACACATGACTGAAATGCTATTATTTAAACATTGTGTTTGTAATGAGATGACATTTGGCTTTATCAAACACTGAGCCACATCTTAATAGTGGAAAGGAATGAGACGCTGATACAGGCCACACCGCGGCCGGACCTCGACACCTCACGCTGTGTAAAGTCAGCCAGACACCAGGGCCACATATCTTGTAACTCTATTGTTTTATAATTCCAGAAAAGGCAGAACGGGTAAACCTGATAGAGAAAGAAAGGAGCTCAGTGGCTGCCTAGGGATGGCTGGGCAGTTGATGGGAGGAACTACTGCGGACACGTGTTTCTTCAGGGTGAACGCTCTTCTGAAACTCGGATTTTCAATGGTTACACTGTCTTCTGAATTAAAAACCACAGCCGTATACTTTACATGGGTGAGTTTTAAGGTATGTCAATAATTTATTAATTTTAAGAGTAACAAGCATACTTAAATTATAGATCTTTAATAAAACATCATTGGGGTAGGCACTGTCAGCACAGGAATTCCAAAGTGAAGAAAGTAACCGGAAGAAGCACTCGCTTCAATTCTGCACATGCAGTGAAGGACAATGAGCAATTCACGAATTCGAGTGCTGCAGGGCCCCTCGCCTCACTTCAGTCAATACTCTGTGATCCATGGAGAGTTTTGAACTCTCCCTTTTAGAGGGAAGGGTGTGTTTACTTCACATTTCTTGTCCTGGGGCTCAGGAAAGTTCAGGAAATTTCAAACCCACAAATGAGCTCTTCAAAGAAAAACTGACAAGTTACAACTGTTACTGCAGCCTAGTCCACATATCCCAGGGTTTCTGTAGGTTTAACTTAAAACATATGGGGAGCATTCCACGTGCTTGAAATGTTTCTGTACTTGGAGCGACAATCACATGGCCGACACAAACAGGAGCATGGTTTATTTTGGAAAGATAATGGCTAGACAAAACATCAGTATACGGACTTTCTCAGATCATAAATTATATACATCATGGTCATAAGACATATTACTTTTCTACGAATACCAGGAACTAACTCCCAATTTGAAAAATAATCTGTGTTGTGACATTTTCCCATAAAGACATAAGAAATCTCAGATTATGGTTTGTAATAGGGTTGATGTCATCATCATATTTGTATTCACTTAGTTATTCTACTTTTGTACTCTTATTTGTCTTTCTAGAAACTACATATGTCTTTTATTACTATCTTTAATAAAAGACTCCACTATCTTTCCCAATAGCTGTGGCTCCAAAGGCCATGCATACATCTTGATTTCTACGTGACCCTAGTGACAATACTCCACATACAGATGAGACCCCCGAATCTAATCTATGTGGGGTTCACTGTCCGTGGCAGAGTCTCTTATGGATCATGCTACATCGGAGTGCCAATGACCACACACCCGTTTCTAGTAGCGTGACAACAGTGACCATGGCTTTTTCAGCACACACGGGAAAAGGAAAGCAGCCCTAGACACTCACAGTTGTAGCCAGGCGCGATGCGGTGCTGGGCCTTGAGGCTCGCCAGCGTGATGTGGAAGATGATGTGCAGCAGCAGGAAGGAGAGGCTCGTGAAGCACAGGGACTTGAGCAGCCGGCCCGTGTGTCCTGGGGACAGAAAGCACAGACTGTAGGAGACCCAACAGCAAGTACGCACTCCGCCCGCATCTGCACTTCCTCAGGCATCCATCTAAGCTACTCCTGAGCAGAGGTGGCTGGTAACTCTCACTCTGCGAACTGGTCTCCAGCTGTCCCCTGAGTAGCACTAAGCAGATGGCTTTAGGTGTATCGAAAATTCACTGTAAAAGAAAGATGCATCCCTACTCATTATACAATGTGCTATAAGGGAAACACACAAGGCCTGGCCCAGGAAATTTTGTAAGTAAATGCTGCCAACTTTGCAGGAACAGATAAACCCCTGTTGGAAAAGGAGCTCCAGGAAGAAGAAAGAAGGAAAATAGCCTATAACATTTTATGAAGTTAGGGTGACTTTAATTTCAAAATTAAAGCTACAAAAGAAAACTGTGGTATAAGCCAATTTTACTTATGAAAATGGATATCAATTATTTTTAAAATTTGCTACCCAGGGCCAGGGATTTAGCTCAGTGGACCACACCTGCCTTGTAAGCCTAAGGTTCTGAGTTCGATCCCCGGTGCAAAAAAAAAGAAAGTGCTACCCAGTTGACGTAGCATAACAAATCATAATCAGCTAGAGTTTACTGCAGAAGAGCAAGTGTATTTTTACATTAACAAATATAAAAGTGAAATTCACACACCAGTGGGCTCATATCATGATTTTCTCAATGGACACAGAAGATAAATTTCCTAAAGTTCAGCATGTTTAGAATTTCAAGAAAACTAGGAGCAGAAGGAAACAGGATTTATGTCATACCTGGAGCAAGCATCCCATTTCCGTTGGGATTTTACACGTATTCCCACCGATGTCAGAGAATCACAGGCACTCGATTGTAATCACCATACATCAACATACCGCTGGGTGCACTGGCCAATGCCGTAAGATTTTTAAAAACTGAAGTCTTCACATCTACTTTATTTGCACATAATATGATCAAATGGAGTTATTTTCAGATGCTATCAATACAGAATGCCAAACCAATAAACTAATACTAGGACAAATGTACAAATTTGGGAAGTGATTCAGATACAAAATTATCTTAATATTAGTAATGATGAAGTAGAAAATAAGACACAACTTAATTAGCAATGAAAACCAGGCTGTCCTGGTGTCACACATCCGTGTGGTATGGCTTGGCTCTAGAAGGGTTATTCTATACTTTCAACAAACACATTTCAAAATACCTAAGCAAAGATGTTTTCAGGTTCTCGACTTATCTTTAAAATATATTTAAGAATAGAACTCTATGTATTTCTATGTTAATTTCGAAAGACTGAGAAATAAGGCCAAAAATGAGAAAGGCTGGTATGTTCTAACAGACATTAAGACACTCTACACTCCTACAAGTTTAAAAAAAAAAAAACAGAATGCAAAACAAAGATTCCTTGTACTGGGGAAAAAAAAGGCATAACATGTACTCCTCAGAAACAAACCAATTTACTTAAATTAACTTGATAAAAGTCAAAGTTGGCCCTACAAATTAAGAGGGATTAAGGGGAATGGCACCTTCCAGAAGGCAGGATGAGAGGGCCTGGCACTCCTCTCCCCACAAAGCCGGGCTTCAGCACTACCCCTGGCTGGAGCGTTCCTGCAGGAGGCCTGGTGTCTCAGCTACATTTCCAGAAGCTCCATTGGAAAAACATCCACGTGCAAACAACCTGAGAAGTCCAAGAACCAGTGTCCCTTTACCCAGGACACCTCCCCAGAGTGGCACAGACAGTGCCAGGAGAGGCCTGTGGGTGATGTGAGCACTGCCGGAAGACTGGCTGCGTTTCTCAGCAGGCCAGGAGAGGGGTGATACACTCAAGGTGCCGAGGGAAAAGACTGCCAGCCAAAAACGTACCCAGCAACACTGTCCCCTAAGACACGAGGGGGACAGGAGACTTTCCCAGGCAGCAGAGCTGAGGGAAGTTATCACCATGTGAGCAACCTCACAAGAAATACTAAAGGGAGCTCTTCTAAATCAAATCAAGACACTGATACACATGCAGCATGAAAACATAGGGAGGTATAAAACTCGGGGGAAAGCTAAGTATGGAGTCCAATTCAGAACACATGAACAGTGGAAAGGAGGCATGTCAGTCACACTGAAATCTAACACAAAAATTATAACCCCAAAGAATGGGAAATGACTACCATCACCAGGCATGCTCGTGAGTACAGATTTACAATGACGTAAATTGTGGTATCAACACCAAATGTGGGTAGAAGTACAAATACAGCTATGGTATATATTCAAAAAATTGTTACCAATTTAAAATATTTTAAAAAGTAAAATGATTTGTGTAAGCCTCATAGTAATCACAAAGCTAAAACCTAAAGTAGATGCACAAAAGATAAAGAGAATCAAAATATACCACTACAAAGATATCTAATTGCTAAGGAAGGCAGAAAGAGGAACAAAGGAACTATAAAAAGTCAGAAAAATAACTAATGAAATGGCAACAGTATATCCTTACCTATCAGTATTTATTTTACATGTAAATGGATTAGATTCTGTCATCAAAAGCTGTGGGTAACTGAACGGATTAAAAACAAGGCCCAATTGTATACTACCCGCAAGAAATTTGTTTTAGGACAATTAGTAGTCTGAAAAGAAAGGAACTGGAGAAGACATTCCATGCAAATGGTAACCAAAAGAGGGCAGAGATATGTTCTAATATCAGACAAAATAGACACTGGGTCAAAAATTCACAAGAAGGGGCCAGGGCTTTAACTCATTGGTGCCGTCGCCTGCCTTGAAAGCGGAAGGTCCCGAGTTTGATCCCCAGTATCAGAAAGAAAAAAATTCACAAGTGATAAGGTAGGAACTACATAAAAAGAGAACGGTCAATTCTTCAAGAGGATATAATAATTCGGTATATACATATATGCAAATAACATCAGAAACCTAAACAAGCAAATACTGAGAGAACTGAAAGGAGGAAGAGCAACACAGGGGACCTGAATATTCTATTTGCATCAACAACTAGATCATACAGACAGAAAATCAATAAAGAAACAGGATTTTAACCAGACCATTCACCAGTGGAAATATAGAATATTCCATCCCATAGAAGCAAGGCACTTATTTTTCCCAAGCACACTAAGAATATTCTCCAGGACAGACCACAGATCAGGCTTCAAAAGAAGTTTGAACAAATTTAATAAATCTGCACATATTAAGAATTTTGAATGACTTTACTGGTATGAAACTGAAAATTACTAATAGGAGAAAATTTGGGCAACTGAAAACAATGGGAAATTATTCAACATCTGCCTGAACAACAACAACAACAACAACAACAAAATAATAGATGGAAGAAGAAATCAAAAGAGAAACAAAAACTTCCTGGAAGTCTGGGCGGTGAGAGGGCTTGGGGTGGGTCCCCCGCACAGCCAAAAATCAATATATATTACTGGAGACAAATGAAAACAGAAACACAACACGCTTACACAAACAGCAAAGGCAATTCTAAGAAGGAAGTTTATACCAAAAAATGAGCAAGAAAAATAAAGATCTCAATAAGCAACCTAGAACTAGAAAAGTAAGAGCAATCTAAGCCCAATCATATTAGAGGTTAGGAAAGAATAAAGAAAAGGGCAGAAATAAATTAAACAAGGACTGGGAAGCAATAGAAAAGATCACTGAACTGACAGTTGGTATTTTGCAAAGAACAACGAATTTAACAAATGTTTTGCAAGATTCCACCAAAAATCTCTTAAAACTAGTTAGTTAAGTTTCATCATCATATAAAGTCATTATTTCAAATCATTGTGTTTTTATACACTGACAATCAACTAAAAAATTAAGAAAAAACTCCTTTTACAAAATATTTAAAAGAATGAAATATGACATAAATTTAACCAACAAAGTAAAAGATGTATGCATTAAAAACTATGAAACATTGACAAAAGAAAGTGAAGTGGATATAAATAGAGGAAAATAATCCCATGCTCATAGTTTGTAAGACTTGGTGGGGGCACTGAGTACTGAACCAGGGCCTTTGCACCAGCTTACATTCTAAGCCCTTTTTTATTTTCCATTTTGATACACAGTCTTGCTAAGTTTCCCGGGCTAAGTTCAAACTTGAGATCCTCTTGCCTCAGCATCCCATAATGCCAGTCTTAGTTGAATTAATCATTTTTAAATGTTCATACTACTCAAAATGATCTACAGATTCAATACAATCTCTATCAAGATTTTAATGGCATTTTTCAAAGAAACAGAAAAAAGTAACTATTCTGGACTTCATATGGAACCAGTAAGATTCCAAATAGCAAATGCAACCTGAACAAGCACAAAACTGAAATGGGCAAAACTCCTGAAGAGCCATTTTTCTCAAGAAGACACACACACAGGCAGCAGGAATTTCCAATTCTCTGACTGAGCACACACCGAGCTCTAAGCTCCAGAGAAACTTTCACAGTGGGTCCATTGGGCACTTGGATAGCACCGCTCACATCACTGTGCATGGAACAGGGAACTGGAGCTACTGCCCGCTGGCAGAGGGACGGATGCACAACCCTGGTCAGCATGAGTCTCAAGAGGCACACAACAGTCAGATGTCTTCAGACAGATCATCCAACGTGGCTGGAGCTTAAATAGATACATAAAATAGTAACAAGTAAATGAGATGCTCAGCACAAGCACTGAGATTAGAACACAGGCATGGATAAAATAACATAGTGCGCACTTTACAAATGTCACTGTGCATATTTAAAATGTATATAAGACACACTGAGTATTTCATGCATGGAGTTGTTTCTCAGCAGCACAAGGAGTTCCTTCCATTCCGTGCCACCTCTGCCCACAGTGCAACCTGGGAGCACCCAGAATCCCCTGCCTTCAGTCCACTGGCTGCAGGCCCTGGGCTCAGGGCAGTTGCTTGGGTGTTTACCAGGGCTGACCAGGACCCAGGGCAGGGGAACCCCAAACCCCCTCAAGGGAAACCGGGATCTGAAGCTGGAAGGTCTGAAACACCATAAACGT